GATCATGAACACTTAGTACTTCTAGTGAAAATTATTCAATAAAGAACAGCTAGAGGTACGCCCTGTGTGATCGAGGATATTTAGGCTATTAACAAGAGGCAGTCCCGATCATTCTTACACAAGCTACCACTGCTAAATCCTAACTGACTAAATTGTATTTTAGTTTACTATAGTTTGAAACCTAGTAATTTCCATCGAAGTTTACAGAAGTTTACACACTTGGCCCAAGCTTCAAACGGGAATTTACTGGCCACTTCTTCCCATCAATCTTTCCTGAACCACTACAGCGACTATGAGAGCCATTCCATATGTTCATACATTGTATCATACATACTTGCCATTTTTGAAATAAAAAATATTATCCCTATGTCTGTGCACATACCTATCATGTATTTAATTTATATGTATGTATGTGCACATACATGTATTTAATTTATAAGTATGTACGTGCACATACGTGTACTTTATCTATAAGCATGTATGTACAATTACATGTGTTTAATCTATATGGATGTACACCTACACGTGTTTAATGTATAAGTATGTATGTGCACATGCATGCTCATGTTTAAGTATGCATGTGCAATTACATGTATTTAATTTATATGTTTGTGTGCTTACATATATTCAACTTATAAGTATATATGTGCACATACATTTTATCTAATTTATAAGTATGTATGTGCACATACGTGTACTTTATCCATAAGTATGTATGTGCAATTACATGTATTTAACGTATAACTTACAAAAAGTATGTATGTGCACATATATGTATATAATGTATAAGTATGCATGTGCAATTACATGTCCTTAATGTTCACTTACATATATTTCATTTATATGTATGTATGTGCTTATATAGGTATTAGATGTGTAAGTATGTTTGTGCACTTACATGCATTTAATTTACAAGTATATATTTGCACATGTATGCTTTTAATCTATAGGTATGTATGTGCACATCCATGTATTAAATTTATAAAAATATGTGCACTTGTATTTAATTTACATGAATGTATGTGCATTTGCATATCGACAATTTATAAATCGGTCACTGATCGCTATTCAGTTTATTTGCAAGTTTACAGCGTCACGGCTTGGCGACGGTCGAGAAGCCACCGGTAAAGATCGATTTCGGTTACTTGAGCAGGCTAAATACTAGAATACCATGTAAACGTATTTATTAAAGTTTATCAGGTACAGTATGTACTAACGATTATTCATTAATAATTGTTATGTACTATGTTGTGACTCACTGGGTCGGGGACTCGGGGTCCAGTTGGTTGGGTTATAATTTATGTGCAAGTTATTTAGGACAAGTTTGGTCTGTCCTTTTTTTTGGGGGTAGTTTGTCCTGTCCGATTGGTCAAAAAAATCGCTCATTGCGAAGTGGTATTTCTTCTCGTTAATCTTGAAGTTTTTCTCATTGAATCTCTTAAGGACTTGTCTGACTAATGCGGCATGTTCGCCTGTAGTCTGAGAAAAAGATGACCATGTCATCTATATAGACTTGCACGTTAGGCTTGTCTGCAAACATTTCTTGCATTACTTGTTGGAAGAATGCTAGTAAAAAGTGTAATCCGAAAGGTGCACCGCTGAACCGGTATTGTTTGCCTTTGCACGTAAAGCTAAAGTATTTATGGTGTTTACGGTGAAGTTCATACACTTGCATTTGATGGTATCCTTGTGTAAGGTCTATAGTTTTAAACACTGTAGCTCCTTCCATTCTTCGCAGTAGCTCGTTAATATGAGGTAAGTGAAAGCTATGAGTCGGCAATAATTTATTTATTGGACTCATATCTAAACATACTCTGACTTTTTTTAAACGATCCGTCAGAGTTATGTTGATCTACGGCTAGCAGCGCAAAGTTAACTGGCGTTTGTTGATAGTTAATTTCTATCCACCTTCTGCTAGCCATTTCTCAACTTGTTCCTTTACAACAGCCTCGTGTCTCCAGGATACATAGTTCCTTGAGGGACACTTAAGCTGTGTAAAGTCTACCTTGCTTAAGTCAAGTCTGACATATCCGTCGTTTAAGCGGAATTTTGCCCAATTTGTGATCTTTACTTTCATATTAACAAGAATCAGATCCATGATTTTGTTCGCAAAGTCAGGTATTAATGCCTTGACTGTGTCTGACGGGGGGTTTATATGGATTCAGACAGTTATCGTCTGATTGATCCTTTAAGGGATCTATGTTAGTTGGTAGACCAGCTACGGTTGTGCCTAGAGTGAGTAAATCACTCATTCCGACTATAATGTCGTACTTCTGTGGCATCTTAACTATCACAGCTTGAGTAGTGATACTCCTATCATCGGCCAGGGAGATTTTAACATCTGTGGCCATGGTATCACACTTAGCAGTTTTATCATCAGCTAAAATGAGATGAGTTGTTTGTTCTCTCCTTTCGATATTTTTCATTAATGCAAAGCGATCGGATATATCTACGCAAGGAAAATATTTCCATTGCAATATACAGGCATTATTATACGCTCATCTAAAGAGTCGTTGTATTGTCTGTGTGATGACTGTGCCTGGTAGTACCGTCACTCCAACTTAATGTTGGGCTTTCGGTCACAAGACTTAGTATAATAACCATTGGTCTTCTCACACTTGTCACACTTTGTAAGAAAGTTGTGTACAGGTGGATGCATGTCTACCATTCCAATAACTGTTAGAGGTTAACTTGTACATGTAATATCCACACTGGGCGTCGGCACATTTCTTAATCTCCTTAAATGGAGGTTATATGTCCTTTGCTCCTGCGCGTGCCCGTTTATTGGGTCGCGTGGATAAAGTGGAGTCGCGAGCACGTGTATGTTGGGGTCTCTTGTTTGAGGTCTGCCTGGATACGTACCCGTGATCGGTGAGCTCCTGCGGCTTCTTAACAGCCGCTTTTCCCTCTGATGTTACTTGATGTGCGGGAAAAGACGTGAATACAGTATCATAAAACTGTTCCCATGTAAGTCCCAGTGAGAGTGGCGCCTGTGTTGTCGGCAACGGGTGTGCAGGGTTGGCGTGGAGATCGTCGTTGGTACGCAATATCTTGGAACATTTGGGTATTGCTTTGGGCGGTCAGACGTGGGCGGAACGAGTGGTTTGGCAGCCGTTGTACCCAAGGTCTATTTATGTCGTAGTAGAAACCCCCAAAGATTTGTGTGTTAGCGGCATAGCGCCAGATGCGGTCGAGAATCCGTTGCAAGCCTTCCGCTGGACCATGCAAGGTAAAATACGACCGTAGTAGGTTATGATGCACCCGGAGTTTGGCTTGAAATAGTCGTGCGCGGGATTTGTTGCGTAAGTGATAAAGTCGATGGCGATATCAGTGATATCCATGAGAGGGAAGGCGTTCGTCCAGAGGCGGCGGCATTGTTGGCATTTTTTTTACGCCAATGGATGTGGTGTTTGGAAAAGATGCCAATACCACAGTGTGAATGGTGTAAAATGTTGTGTCGTGTTGTGTGATGTAGAATATGATATGTATAATATTATTTATTTCAAAAATGGCAAGGATGTATGATACAATGTATGAATATATGGTATGGCTCTCATAGTCGCTGTAGTGGTTCAGGAAAGATTGATGGGAAGAAGTGGCCAGTAAATTCCCGTTTGAAGCTTGGGCCAAGTGAGTCGATAATGGAAGATATGTGCTGGATAGTGTGTGATCGAGCGTATATGATTAAGGAATGTGGTGTTATGCCAGGTTTCAACCACACACATAATATCAACCTGACTCAAAATCGATATGGAAGGTTAAGGCTGTGCGGGAAGACCGTTGGTACGTGGGGTCGTCCGGGCTGCGCACGTTCTGACTGTGTGTTAGCGCCTGTCGGGATTCGTGGGTTAGGTGACAAGCGGTTTGTAGTATGTTTTGCTTGATATGCCTTCTGGAGCCGGTCTGTGGTACATTGGAGAATGTCTGCGTTGGTGGAATTCATAAGGGGGTCCAGTAAAGCATCCATGCTACGGGCAATAATTTTTGGTGCTCGTTCATGTGTGCAGCAGGCCTCCCGCTTGGTGCGGAGATAGTGGATTAAGGCTGCTTTCGTAGCGTCAGGATGTTGTTGGGAGCGGGGGTCTATGGTTTTATCAAATTGCCACTTCCACGTTAGTTCTGCATGTCGTTTCACCTGGGCGACAGCGTCATTGGGAACACAAAGGTGGACGAAACTGGAGGAGGTCCCGCGGCGATTTAGTTCAGAAACCGGTTTGGACGGGAGATACCAAAGAAAGTGGTGGCGTTTGAGGAGCGGTTGGGCGTGCCAGTATTTTTCAAATACTGATTGGGAAGGGGGCTTGCCGTTGGGAAAAATTGCCCGAAAGAAGAGCCTTACCGGAGTGATGTCATCCATTTCATGGAGAGTTTTGTCCGGCATCGGGCGGCCCATCACTTTCGTCAGAAGGTGTGCGGGTACTGGCGGCTGCAGTAGGGGCTGAGAGGTCAGTGGGATCGGGGATTTTTAGGGAGTCGGTTTTGTGGGGTTGCCCACTTTTGAGCGGTAGCTGGGAGGCTCACTGCTACTAATGGGCGCCTGTGGCCTCGGTCTTTTTGCTGGGTTTGGAAGGTGTTGGGTGTGCCTTCATTTAGAGATACACAGGTTTGGGATTTAAGGTCTCGGAGTTCGGATTCGAGGTTGTTCACTTTGGCACAGAGTTCAGCGAGTATTTGGTGCATGGTTAATATCCATTGGTCGTCAGCCAGAGGCTCTTTGGAGATGGGCCCATTATTGTCCAGGGTTGGTAGGGCCGGTCCCGACATTTGGTTGAGATTAGCCTGTAGAGTATTGACCTGTGCAGAGAGGACTGTGGTAGATTTTTGTAAATCCAATTTCCATTGGTCATTATGCAAGGAGTCGTTGGGGACGAGCGCTTTAGTTGGGGATTCAGCCTGGCCCGACATTTTTCGGAGGCTGTGGGACTGTGGTCTGTGGGTCGTGGGACTGTGGGACCCCAAACTCCCCACTGGGAATTGATTTTTTGGAAACAAACATCTAAACTCCATGTCCGATATGAAACTATGTAACTTTTTAGTGGGGTCTGTGGGTTTTTTGAATTTGGGTTACACTGGTGACTTGCGGGTCACCGAGATTTACGTTTCGGAGACGGAAATTTGAGTCAAGGGTCCGTCGTGAAAAATAAATATGAGGAAGTGAAAAATAAATATGGGGAAGTTATGTATGTATATATTCATTTTTCTCTATTTTTATTTCTAATTTTATTCATCCAAATTGGAATCACTTACATAGTCATACATAGTACATAGTCATACTGTGAATACTCATATTTATCTTCTTTTTTTTTAAACAGAAGACTAAAGTCATAGGCCATAGCCTCATAGGCCCAAGACCTATGGACCATTCAATTCTAAGCTCATTGCGTTATGTGGATGCTGAATAAAAATTGAACTATAACGCCTATTTTCATGTTCTATATACTTTAAAACGGTTATGTAGCTCAAATATGCCCAACGAAATTTCAGAAAATGCACTTCGAATGTGCACCTAAAATCCACGAAGTGGGCTATTTTTTGCTACAACTGTGCGCCTGCGGATTCATCAACAAACTGATTCCGCAAATATCAAGTGGATCTTGATTTTGATTGTCTCATATAGGGGCGAGAAGTCGAGAACTGAGAAATGAGTTGTGGATACTGCCGTAAAGTGAAAACAAACTGAATATATTATAGGTTATCATAGCCAATAGAAAATAGAAACTCGGAGCCCGGTCATATTTGGCGCGCTCAACAGCCTCAACTGGGGACAAATCTGCGGACCTAGAAAATACACCCCATCTAAAATCCATTGGGCCATGAATGTAATAAAAATTGAACTTCGCTTATATCGGCAAGTAATAGAAGTTTTAACGGTTAACGCATTGGGCTTAGCCATACATAGACCATAGCTTTCTAAAGTACTTTAAAAATACCCATTGAGCTGCGTGAAGGGCAATTGCGACCAGCTCACTACTAAGTCGTAGTCATAGGAGCATTATTTTTGATATTTAGACTGAAGTGCTTTTACTTTTTGATTTTTGATTTTTGGGTGACTGTCACTACTCTCTAGTACTACTCTATAGAGTAGAGTGAGTGTCTACTCCGTCTACATTACATTTAAAAACTGTCTTCACTCTTCAGTCTTGACTCTCCTCTTGTGTATTTATACGTCCCTACTCCCTAGTCCATACTGCCTACGTCACTAACCTTACCGTTTTCCACTAAAACTTTTATAAATCGAGTAAATATACGTTTACGTTCGACTTTTATTCCATATCTGGTCCTTTGTATACACGTAGGTGCATCATGAGGGTCTAAAACATTAGGTATTTACTATTTTTACAATACGAACTAATCCGGTAAAAGAACTTAGGTAGGCCCTACTTTTTTTATTATAACCGTTATAACGTTCTAAAGTTGAATAATTATGCGTTTACGTTCAATCTCTATCCGTACCCTCATAACGTTATGAGCTTGACCTACGATGTTCTGAACGGGAGTAAAATTATTTCCGTCGCCTCTGCCTTCTACCATATGTACCTATTTTAAGTTTTTAGTCAGTTCAGACTACAGACTCTACTCTTTGTACTTTGTAACTCTTTTTTTTATGATATTTTTCTAAAACAATAAATTCAATTTGTATTTGTATTTGTACCGTTTTTTTTTAACAAAAAGGGTTCTGATTTAATGTGTGTAAAAAAATAAGTAAATACATATTCTATTATATATATATATATATATATTATACATAAATAAATACGTCCACTCCTTGGATTTTCTCATAGCATATTATACGGGCATGTCGTTTTATAATCAACCAAGGTTACAACAAACAGTTTAGTAGTGGTCCGTATAGACGAGCTGTGAGATGCCTGGATCAATTCAAAGATCATTGACTAGGATATAATACAACACCTGCCAGAGATCCCATCCTTGCACTCCCGATTGCAAATCCTAACAGCATACTATGTGCGGGACTTCCGAAAGCAATGGGGTCCACAGGAACCACACATATAAGAAAAAATGTAGTGGCCGTGACTTTTTTGTAAATGCACCTGCTGGCGTGAACGTATCATCGACAGAGACAGTTCCATGTGATGCGATACAGATCGAGGATGCTAATCACACTATCACAATAGCAGAAATTAACAATCGTCAGACAATCTCGGAATGTACGGAAGTGAAGCTGGAGACCCAGAATTCGAAAGGAGTTGATCCGGAATCTGAAAATACGGGCTTCTCAGAGACTTGGGCTGCCTTTCAAAGCGTATATAGAACAAGAACTATAACTGAGAAAGAGTACTTGCGACTGTCTTATTGGATGTCTGGTATGAGCTTTGGGATAACAACTGCATGGTTCGTTGCAACCTACACGGCCTGTGGAATATTGATAGAGAATCAATCCCAGAAACCATACAATTTTCAACCTGGAGATTATAACATAGCTCTGCCCATTTTGCAGTATACCACTCTTGGTTTTACTGCTTTACTAACCATCGGTCTCTCTGGGATATGTCTGTGGAACGCGGAATATCCACTGGTGAAAACTCGTGGGAAACGGTTTGTAATTGGGTTAGCTGTCTCCGCCTTAATGACACTAGTCGGCGTCTTAGTGGGCATTCTTGGGAATTTCTACCGATTTTCTACTACAACGGGTGTATTCGGTTGGATTCGGCAGATAGGGTTTCTAGTTGGTGGTGTATCTGTTGTTTCTCTACTGGCATCGCGGCAGAGTTTTTTATACCATCTGTTCCTCGGAAGTCAGTTCGCCCTTCGACATCTAGATGCCATATGGTACCTTACCTATATTTTTTGCGTGCTACCTGCGTTTATTCTGTCTATAGTATACACAACAATGACTCTATCCAGTATCAGCACAAATTTCAAGATGCTTTTTAGTGCTTCTTATTTCCCATCGCTCACCGTGCTGGTTTATTACGCATACAAGTCACAAAGGATAGGCAGTGGGTTTGGCCACTGGGGCAGCTGTCTGCGATTAGCGATATTTCTCACTGTGGTGAGTGTCAGCCTTCGGATTATCGTAGTATATTTGTTAACTCGCATCCCCAAAGGGAAGCCCACTGACTGGACAAGGCTTCTCTCACGGTTTGGTCATATGTACTTGGTTTCAATAGCTATCAATGAATCCCTTCTGTCGATTGCCATCTTGGCACTACTAGATGTACAACCGCTCGACTGCCTGGATCCTAGGATAACCTACCGAAGCACATTCCCAACAAGCACACCGATGCCCATTGTCCAACAAGCCGTACAAACAAGACGTATACTGTACACAGCTACACCAAAATCCGTTGGTCAAAGTTCAAGATGTACAAGTAGGGAGCCACGAATCGACTCACCCAGAGGCCACCGCAAGAATAAGCACCGAAGGGGAAGTATCGGTGGTATATACGTTGAAACGGTTGCAAGTGATCACTTGCTCTCTAGTCAGGTTCCAGAATCTTCAAATAATTCAAAACACAATATACCCGAGTCGCTGCCCGAGTCACTGTCGGGGTCAGTCATGCCTCACTAGGCACAGTCAGAATTTATTTTAACATTGAACAAAAATATTTTACGGAGCGCAGCCACAATAATAGTGTGAACAACATAAAATCAAGAATATAAAATTGTCCCAGTAAAGGCTCCGCATATGTCTGACTACTAACTATATTTGAAGAAAGCGCATATTTGTAGTCGGCCAGAAGTGCATTGAGTTTGATCAACCAACAATAAGGCGTCCGCATATATCTCTTTACTAGCTATATTAGAAAAAAAGCAAATATCTGTAGTCTACCAGAAGGTGCACCGAGTTTGAGCAACCAACACTACGCGCGGAGACAATGTTAATTGTATTATATGGCATTGTGGTTTTGAAGGTGCTACGACAATTTGACACAATTACGAAAACAAATTCAATCAATCATTGCTAAATATGTGACTTTATAAGACTTTTACCTTTACTTTCCCTTTTCTAAACCACAATAATTAGAGCTCACTGAGATGAAAATCAGCACCGACATGACTGACTGGTTTGTAAATACATAGCTAGTATGGTACACAGGGGGAAGAATCTGCCCCTTTGAGGGGTCATATTTTGATCATAAATGTATACTCGACAATTGTTCAATCCCGATTTTTACATCGGCTACGGGTTCCTCGCGTTATTCCCAACAGGTTTCTTCGGTTCAACTTTTCCAATCAGCTCAGAGAGCCAAATAATAGGACTTTTTCAAATACGATCTTTACTTCATATCGGTTACAGTATATTTTAGCTATGGAGCACTTAAGGGCGTTTTTGAGCTCTTGAGGGCAAGGCGAAGGGAACTGCCGGTTCTTGTCATTGGATTTTTGAGATGTGCGGCACTTAAATTCGAAAACAAAGAGGAAGGAAAAGGGAGGAAAAAGCCTGAAGGGCCTCTGTTTTCAACTGATTATGATACAGCAACGTAATAGAGGTTGTTGAAATGATTGATGGCAAGGTTTACACTTTGATAAGACCGGGAAAGCGATATGGGAGTACTACAACTTTAATAGGGGTTGGTGGCAAGGTTTACACTTTGATACGACCGGGAAAGCGATATGGGAGTACTACAACTTAAATAGGGGTTTGAGAATAGCAACAAAGTGTTGTTTTTTTTCAATTGATAAAGACCTCGATCCCGCCTCAAAGTACATTACTCGAACCTTCGCGTCACACATCAGTTTGACTTAAAGCCATTTAATGTTTATACAACTTCTAAAGCAAATCACATTGGTTTGTACGGATCATGAATTTAAAATGTTGTCACCATAATATAAAGATGAATATATAAGTACCACACACACACACACGCAAACACACACGCACACACACGCAAACACACACACACACACACGCAAACACACACACA